CACCTATTCCTTGTAAAAATCCCCCATAACTGATAAAGGGGAACTTACAAAACACACCCCAATTTTGAGCTGTTTTATATAAATATTAATACCCATGCTAAGGTCGCTTTTGCAATCCCACCAATATACTTGACTCTGAAAAATAAACTCTGTGCTAACGAGGCCAGGTTTGCTAATTGGATGCAGATCAAGGGCCATGAGCAGACTCCACAACAGCCATCCACAGCAACTTCAAAAAAGGAAAAAAATTTAGGGGACTGCTTTAAAAGTAAGTAATTTCCATCAACCTCCACGTCCAAATTCACAGATGTAATTTAGCTTGAGAGGCTTTGGGTAAACATGGAGATACGCTCCAATTCTTGAGGAAATTGCTAACATTTTCCTCGGAATTTTAAAAGAATACTGCAAAATACATACATTTGGCTATTATTACCCTCAGGTAGTTTACTTTAAAATACTTTTCGCATAACATTCTGTTAAATTGAGCCAGGCCAAATCAAATAATAACAATTAGTGYGTCTGCACTTCTGCTCTTCTGTGGTGGGGTGGGAATTTTGCTAATAATACCACATACTTTTGGATGCAGAGGGAGGGACTGAGTCATGTTTTTTAAATACCAGTGAAAATCCCACCGTATTACGTGGGATTTACTTCCTTCCTGCACGCCGCTCCTACCCTTGCCTACCRGGAGAGCTGCATAGCTCACTGCTGAGCCAGGCCCACAATGTTCAAAACTGGCTAAAAGTGACCTGGATTTGTTGGGCAGCCCTGATGCTGCTCAGGGCTCCATGGTGGAATGTGTTCTGGATACTGAGCAGCCGTGGCCTTTCCCCTTGCTCCCTGGGGATGGAAAGCACAGCCCCAGCAGCTTCCTCCCAGCTGACTGATCCCACCACGGGGTACCTGGGAGTATCTCCATTTGTGGAACTTGATGCTGCTGGGCTGAGGCAGGGAGGGCACAATCCTCTGCAGGTGACTCAGGATTAACTGCTGCACCTCTGCAGGGTCTGAGTCCAGATGCTCACTCCCAAAGGTCACCGTCGTGTGGACCACGACCGAGGGCCCAATTKCAGGAGACTCTGGAAGAAAGAAAGCAAGAGGAGAGGTGCTTTTGGAGGATTGCTCATTAATACCTGCCCTCCCCACAATTGTGCTTCCAGCCCAGGAGTCAGAAGAACAAAAAAAATCTGTGGAACCACCCTGCTCTTCCAGGTGGGAAAAGAGCACATGGAATAACAACACAAGTTGTTCACAAAAACAACACAAGTCAAGGGGGACAATCTCTGCCAACAGCCTGGCCTTGGAACTTCCAGGGATCCAGGGGCAGCCTCAGCTTCTCTGGGCARCCTGTGCCAGGGCCTCACAAGCCTCACTGCTAAAAAAATCAGGTGGGCAGCAAATGTGGACAGAGCTTGAAGAATTTTGTGTCTTCCTGTCCTTCCCCACTGTAAGCCAAGGGAGCTTGATTAGAGTCACTTCCCAGTGCACTTATTTGTGTGCTCAGTAAATCCTCACCAGAACCAGTCTGCGTCAGAGTCACAGAACTTTGGGAGGGAGGGAGGAATCTCTGGAGGCCTCTGGTCCAACCTCCTGCTCCAAAGTGGGGCCAGCTCCCAAGACAGATTGTTTGCTACAATTGTTGGAGTGCTCAGGGATCACCCAAGGGTTACAACCTGGTCGCCAGAAGAGAACTGTCTATGGGTGTGATGGGCACACATCTCCCACAGGAATGTCCTCCTCCTTAGGGGAACAGCAGCAAATGTTTTTCTCACATTCCTGCCCAAAACCTGGAGTCATAACAGATCCCAATAAAAAATGAGATGCAATCGTTTCCTGACCCTCAGGATTTTCAATCTTCTTGGGGAGATGTGTTTTGCCATCTGAACCCTGTTCTGGTTCTGTGTAGCATGAGGGGAAGGGAAAAAGGGCTTTTGCCACCCCAAGCAAAGCCTGGAAGAAGGAAATGCTGCTGGGTGAGCGTGGAGGGCAGCAGAGAAGCTGGACAYCTCCGGCCAGGCTGGAACCACATTCCTGCTCCCCAGGAGGGATCACCAGGCTGCTGAAAGAGAAGTCAATGTGCAGGCCTCATAAAACCATCTAAAAGCTAAAAAAAGAGCACTGATTAACTTTACTACACCTAGGAAGCAAGAGAGTTGGAGGTGCACATTTGAAATGCCGTGCTGCTGTTTGGAAGGAGGGTCAGCGAGCTTCCCATTTATCCTCAGAAGTTCCTGTGGTTCCTAAGGTCCCATATTCTCCCTGGAATAAAACCTACTCTATCTGACAAGGCACATTTGGGAAGAGTCATGGAAAGAATGGCACTAACTTTTTTATATTCAGAAACTCAGCATTTCATTAGCCTCATCAACGGTTTCTGATTGTTTTTCTAAAAGGCAGGCAGGGCTGGCAGGGGATTACAACGCAACTGGCTGCATAACGAGGCAAAAACTCAAACAGTTCTTTGACTCTTCCATCTCCCTAAAAATTCTTATTTTTAGGAAGGAAAGGAATCTATATTTTAAAATCAAAGAGGATGCTCAGGAATTATACTGATCCTGAAAACCAGTAAGGCRGATCTTCCCTTTACATTACATAACCCCGCAATACTCCCGAAGCAAAAGAAAGGAACCACTTCCACTTTTATGTGTCATCTATCTTTAGTCCTCCTGGAATGCAGAGAGATGCAAAGACTGCGGTATTCCAGAAATAATTTATACCGGAGAATTCCCAGTGTCCCCCCGACCCGGTATGAATATGGATGGGGTGTTTGAGGCAGCCAATCCCACAAAGTGTTTAATATTCATGCACACCACCCAGGAATTCGGCACACGCTTCCTGTGGGCTCTGCMTTACGTAACAGCAGCTCTGCAGGCAGAGAGGGGGTTCTACCACCAGCAGCTGGGATCCTGGGCTGATGGGAAAAGCCTTCCCTCCCGGAGGCTCCTGATGACACCGGGAATTGGTGGCWTCAGAGGAACTGCTCCACGCAAGCCATCCCACGGCGTGATGGATTAGAGCAGCCTGGCTTGAATTCCACTGGAGAAACGTGAGTGGGATGGCTCTGCTTGGCTGACTCACAGCAGGGATTGCCACATCCCAGACGAGTGACAAGGACAGTCTGGATTTCCACAAAGARGGCCTTGGACTGCCTGCTTTAGGGAGATGTGGTATTTGTGAGACCCACAGAAGAAAGCTCACATAATCACAGAACCACAGAATCACAGAATCAAAGATCACCCCGTTCCAAACCTCCTGCAGGAAACAACCATCAGCTACAGCTATTTTCTTTGGACCTCTACTGTCCCGTACTGTTTAGTAAAAAATTTGAAGGGGCAGTGAGAATGAGATAACCTCCATCAATCGTGGGCACATCAGGTGAAGAAACACTGGAAAAAGCGACGGCTGTAGGGAATGATGTCCTTGAAGATCTCAGCTGCCTCACCCAGCAGTTCTGCCTTCTTCTCTGAATGTTTACTTTCTGGCTGTCACCATCCTCTTCTTCAGATGAATCCTAGCCAATCAAGGTTGAAGAATGAAAGAACAGGCAGAATGATGGGTGAGGTGGAGTTAAAAGGGCCAGCMAAATGCTGCTGTGCCTACCCCTGGAATGTTGTGGAGGGCAGTCAGAAGCACGAGAAGAAAAATGCAGATGCAAAATACTCACATATGTGTTAAAACAAGTAYAAAGGAACTTTTTATTCAAGTGCTTTGGTCACAGGACTTCACATGTAAATGAATTTCCACACTCAGCCTCCCTTGCTGGTCCTGTCTCCTAGGAAGGGACACATGCAATTTGTTCTTCTTGGAAAAATTTGCTCATACAAACAGAASTCTCCCCCAGTTCAAGGGCAATTTCAGTGAGGAAGGGATGTGTCAACACTGATGTTCTGGTACTTTCTACGGATTTGTTAACAATGTGCCCCAATAATGCGCTCTGCACTGGGTTAAACTGCATCTGGAGACAGCAGAGCTGTTTGATAATTCCATTCTAGTGCTGTATTTGTTGTTCTTGGTGCTGGGGCTTCGAGACCACATGTGCAGCAGATAGGTGGGGGGAGCAGGAGTGAATTTCTCCTCAACACTGATAATGATCATATCAGTAGGTGCTATTAACTATCAGGTATTTTTCCTTGGACACAACAATGGCAGCAGAATCTCAGATGTGAGGAAATCTCTGTCAGTAGCACGGACAGTAACCCAGTACAGAATGAAAAGATCACTCTGTAGCTGGCATTCCTCACACCCTTTTTTTACATATTCATTGTAAGTCCCTGCTGGAGAAAGCACATCAGGGTGGATGCCACCTCACTTTGGCCATCCTTCTGTTTTGCTTTCACTGTTTTCAGATCAGTGGGCTAAATTCTTTGGCAAAACAACCAATTTGTGCTTCAACTGAGGGATGGAGAATCTCTCCTACAAGGAAAGGCTGAGAGAGCTGGGGGTGTTCAGCCTGAAGAAAGGAAGGCTCTGGGGAGACCTCAGAGCCTCTTCCAGGGCCTGAAGGGGATCCAGGAGAGCTGGAGAAGGACTTGGGACAAGGGTTGGAAGGACAGAACACAGGGAATGGGGTCACACTGCCAGAGGGCAGGGATGGATGGGATATTGGGAAGGAATTTTTCCCTGGGAGGGTGGGGAAGGTGCCCGGAGAAGCTGTGGCTGCCCCTGGATCCCTGGAGGTGCCCCAGGCCAGGCTGGACAGGTGGAAGCTGGGTGGAACTTTGGGTCTTTAAGGTCCTTTCCAGCCYAAACCATCCTGGGATTCCATGACTCAGATTAGTCTGGTTTTTCTCGAGCTGTTCTATGCCCCCACTCTCCTGTCACACGAAATACATTCCATAAATAAAACACACACTTCCTTCAGCTGCAGAAAGACAGGAGAAGGGGCTGTCTCGGGGGATATTCCCCAAGCTTTACTGAGCACATGCAGCCATACCAGGGACTCTTCCTGGYGATAAAAACACCCTAGCTAACTCTGAGCTGGGCTGAGCATTCCCACTCATTCCCAGTCTCAAGGAAGGAGCSATGGGACACAAACTGGCCAGTGTGTGCATCAGTTTTTAAACTAAGGAACTCCAGCTCTGCCTTGAAACAGCAACATYTTGGGGTCTGCAACCCCCTGACACAGGTTTCAGAGTTTCACAGAGGCAGAAACACCAACCACGTGCTGGGGGCTGACTTTCTGCCCTGCTCTGCTCCACACTGCGGGGTTTGCAACAGGACAAACCCGACATCCAGTTCAACGTTCAGAAGGGCAACACTCAATYAAACAGCATTTCTGGTGATGGACACCCCGCATTGTGGCTGCCTTTGGGGGAAGAATGGGAGCACTGACCTATATTGCGCTTCTGGTTATCGATGGAGATGAAGCGGATGCAGGGATTATCGGCCACGTAGCAGGCGGCCCAGGGGACAGCCAGCCCTGTCCCAGCCTCGTAGAACAGACCCAGGGCATAGCGGGATGAGTAGCTCACACATTCCAGCTGCTGCTTTTGGCTTTCGTTAATTACTGTGAAAAGGAAAAAAAAAATTATAAAATAAAAAAGGAAAAAAAAAATCAGACAATCCCTCTCCCCTCAGAACATTAAATATGGGAATGCTGCAGTTAAGCTGATTATTCCTTCCTGAAAATGACCAGACTGCTAAAACCAGGAATTGAATATTAAGCCTAGTGCTTTGTAATGTTTTTTTTTCTGGGACACCTCTTCATGAAGTTTTAATGGTGCGTTATGCAGAGTGTGTCCTCTGCACCCAACCCTCCCCCAGCTGCTGGGGCTCATCTCTCAGCCCTTCCTCAGCTGCCTCTGACTCAAAACTCTGATGCCTTCAGTGACTTTTTTTTTTCAAATCTTTTCTTGATTTTTTGCAAATCTTTTCTTAAATAGCAATAAAATGCTTGGGTTGCCTCAAGGACATCAAGTAAATGGTTGTACAGCTCAACAAATACTAAAATGAAATCACGTATCAACAAAATGAACCTAGAGACTCAGGAATCTCTGGGGAAAAGAGCCCTGCCAAGGTCTCTGACCCCCTCAGCCACAGAGGGTCAGGCTAAGGGACCACAGTGGGCACCTGGTGCCACCTCCCTGCCCCAGCAGRGCCATCCCAGAGCTCAGGGCACAGGAATGTGCCCACACAGCTCCCCTAAATGGTCTCCCCCACCAGCCTGACCTAATGCCCAACACAGCAGTGCCAGATTCCACCTCAAACCCCATCAGAAACCGACCTTGGAACATCCCCAAGGAAAAATCCCAGAAAAAAATGTGGYGAGTTTGCTCCCATATTTTCCCCCCAAATGTGCTGGGGAACAGAGAAACAGGGAGAGCAGAAAGGAGCACTGACCAACCCATGARACCTGGGGAGAGAAAAGGAACACAGCCCCTGGCTGCCCTGGAGGGAAGGATGCCAGCAGGAGAGCACCTCCACACCCCTCCCTCCCTGCTGGAAATGTTCCCTGGCCCAAGTTCAGATCCCAAAATTTAAAGTGTGTTCATTCAATCACTGTTGTGCATTCACTAACTGATTTCCTTCACTACTGCTTGAGTTCTTAAAAAAAAAAAAAAAACCCAAACTAAAAAATCTGTGGTTCATTGGGTTCTAAGCAGCTGCACATTCACCAGACCGAGGAAGTTTTTAGTGCTTGAGAAGACAGGCAAGAAAGTGACGTCAAATTTGAAATCCAGCAACCAAAAAAAGCTGAGCTATAGGCAAAAACAAAGCTAAGGGTTGTAAGATTGAGGTCCTTCCCCTGCCCCATCCATTACGCATTTCAGCAAGGCCAACAAGTTGATCTAAGGACATGGAGAGAGCCTTCATTTTGAATTTCCATACTTTTATTGGTTTAAATGAAAACCAGACTGTTGTTTTAACGCTGCGTATGAAACCACAAAACAACTATTAACTTTTCCCCTTCCAACAAAAACGGTTAAGATGATTTTAATAACATTTTGGAAAAAAAAAGAACCCCAGCCTTTAGTTTTCAGAACACAGAGCTGCCCAGCACACAGCCATAGTGATATTTTAAAAGCGACGCACGAAGACGTGAAAATCTTGTATTTTCCACTGCAAGGCTCAGCCACAGCTGCGCTGCGAGTGCCACTGAAGTTAAGTGTCCCCTGGAGATTCCATCACATCAAAGCAAGGGGCCTGCACACTTCATTTGCTGTCYCTGCAGACACTGACAGCAGAGTGCGTTACTTATCTCTAACACCCCATAAATACAGCCAGGGCCTTTCATCTGCCGTGCCAGCGCTCCAATGTCACCTCGGTGCCTCTCTGGGAAGGAGGGGACCCAGGGATGCCATCAGGGCCAGCGGGACAGAGGAGAGCCAAGGCTGAGCTGGCAGGCTGGGAGCACGGGCACCAGGCCATGCAGGCATCCAGGAGGGAGCCCAACCTCCCCTCAGAGCCAGCAGGAAAAACAAACCCAGCTGCTCCGGCGGCCAAGAGCCCACTGGGGTGATCCAGGTTTAATCCTGGACTTTTAGACTTTGCCAGAAAGTACAGGAGGAGATTGCAATGTCATGGAATCCCAGACTGGTKTGGGTTGGAAGGGACCTCAAAGCCTTCCCCTCAGTGCCACCCCTGCCATGKCAGGGACACCTCCCACTGTCCCAGGCTGCTCCCAGCCCCAATGTCCAGCCTGGCCTTGGGCACTGCCAGGGATCCAGGGGCAGCCACAGCTTCTCTGGGCACCCTGTGCCAGGGCCTGCCCACCCTCCCAGGGAACAATTCCCAATTCCCAAATTCCCATCTAATTCCACTCTCTGTCAGTTTGGAGACACGTCTCTCTGCAGAGAGGCACTGCAGGACCCCTCACCACCAGCTCGTGGCTCCAGCAAGGGCTGGGCTCCCCAGTGCCCTTGTGGGCAAGCAGAGATGGGGCAGAGGCACCGTGGCCAGTCCGGTGACTGAAGCACAAGGTGACCCCACCCTGTCCCATGTCTCTGCCACTGCAGCTCACAGGCGCAGGGAGAAACCACGGGGGAAACCAGACACGACGATGTGAGACCTATTTMAAACAACACTTGCTCTGGAAAGTTTCACTGCGGCTAATTCAGGGCTTCTAAAAGTCCATGAGGCTCCTCTCACCGTGAAGTCACCACATGATGTCAGAGCTCAGCTGGGACGCCTGCACCCATCCAGCTCTGCACAAATTTGGGCAAAGAAATGGAGATCCTGGCTTGAAAGACTCCCAGGGAYGAGAGGGAAAACCTTTCCTTTGTTTCAGCAGCCAGTGGCACAGGGGATGCAGCATCCTGAAAGTCAGCAGCTCCAAAAGCAGACCCCAAACAGCCAGAACAAGCTCGTGCTTTAGGGCACAACAGCCACTGCCTGATGTGGGCCAAATTCCCAATGAAGGGATGGCCAGGGTGACTGTGAACCTACAGAAAAACAGACACGACCAGCCACCAAAGCAGGAAGGAAAAAAACCCTTCAGCAGTACTTTGAAGGCATGAAAGTGCCACTAAACCTGAAAAATATGAGGCGGCTGGGCTTCTTATTTCAAGAGAAGGTTGCTCTTTTTAGTCTTAGCTACTTTTACTGTAAATTCCTTATTCTAATAATTCAGCMGCTTTAGCTTTGGTGGGAACAGTGTTAGAGCCTGGTTGAGTTTTGTGGCTTTGCCACTGCCCAGCAAGGGTTGCCTCAGCTTTCAGAATCCTCCACCTTCTTCATTTCTTCTCATAATTTATTTCTGTGACCACTTGCCTCTCTCACAGCTCTGCCCTGAACAACCTCACCAYGCCCCAAAAAGGCTCTGTGATTTCCTCAGACTCCTCTGCTCAAGGTTTCACTCACAGCAAACCTGCACCCCTCACTCAGACATTGCTGGTGACARGGGACCTGCAGCACCCAGTGACCACTACAGCTCTAAAAGCTAAAAAGGAAACTGTGGTTCAACGGCCACAGAGATATTTTCAGCTCAGGTATCGAGTTAAGGCATCTCAAGAGATTCACCCAGCACAATGGGCAGCTCAGATAACATCTGGAGGGGTGGTTTCTGCTCCCAGCCGCCACAGCTCTGCTCGGGAGGTGACTCAGGTTGGCACATTATCRTSACCTWCACATGAARGGATGGCCACCAGGCTGGCAGAGCMCTGTCCCAGCRCTCTCCTGAGCTCTCCAGCTGCGTGGGGACAAGGGACAGACCCGCAGGCCACCCCCCTGGGCAGGATGACCATGCCACTGGCACAGTGCCACCACGCTGACCGCTTCCAGATGCGGCCGTTCCCGCTGCTGCTGGGCGTAGGAGGAGCAGAGGTTATGAGAAAGGCTTCGTTTGAAGTCCAGCTTCCTCAGCAAACAGCTCAGAAGTGGTTTTTTTTTTAAAAAAAAAAGGCAGCCACGGCTGTGCCTGCTCTGGAATGCTCACTGAGCACAGTTATCCGCTGGGATATTCCATTTATATTCCATTGATATTGCTGGGRCAATCCTGCTGGGATCCCACACAGCGCTCACCTCCGTGGGGGTGCAACCACAAGGACTGAAATCCACTTCAAATCACTGCAGCCCTTGGCACAAAGCTGCCCTGTCCAAAGCCTGGGGCACAGGAAGGAAAGGCGTATTTAGAAATGTAGATGGTGAAGGGGGAAAGAGATGCCGGGCAGAAAAAGGCAGCACAAATWAGTTTTTTATGAAGTTTATGATTTT